AAGCAGAAAAACTCAACAACCTCCATTCACAATATTTCTACTCACGATGAAATGTAAAACTATCTTACTCCCTCTTATCTGTTTTTAAAGCATGGTCAATCCAAATTTCTAACATTTTCAATCAGTGAGCACAAATAAAAAAAAGAACAACGAAAAAAAAAAAGTTGATAAGATTACCACATAGCAATGTCACTTTTTAGTTTGATTACCATTTTTCTAGATTGATAGTTACAATAAATATATTTAGTTAGGACTTGGGAGTATATGTATATATAACGGTAGCAGGGTGGTGCAGGGGTAAAGATAAGTTCATCCCAGTACGGGTTTATACAGGTATTCTCATATACGTCCACCGTCTAATACATATAGTTCATCCCTGGTCCAAACAGAACAGGTTTGAACGAATACCTGTTATTGTCCGATCCACTGCCATCCCTAGTTGTGAGGGTCTCATAACTATGCGTGGAAGGGGGTAAAATATACGAAAAATCGCATCACAGACTATAGACACATCATAAACGAGTGTGGAGCATGAAATCCTGTGTGAAAAACATATATTACACGTGATTGCGACCAACCAATTCAGAGACTAACCTTATGGCATATGACATCATACTTTCTGTCGATAAAACATAAAGCAAACATTCAAATAGACAAACTAGTTACATTGCTGACTGTTGGAAGCCACACAGAAGGAATGAGAACAATCCCACATCGGAAAAACAAGAGACTCTACCCTGACTTTAAACAGAAAGATTAGACAAAAGTTGCAGCTCGAGCTTCGTCTCAAGTTTGAGTTCAACTATAAATGAGCCCAAATCCTATTTGTGGTATAGCAGCCTAAAAAATTCAAAGAAAAATAGGACTCAAATAGGGAACGTAGGAATCCACATTGTGGGCCACACAGAAGACACAAAAATAACCACCAAGAAAACAAAGATGCATTCATGTACAAAGATTAGCCAAAAATAACTCTAGGTTTGAGCTTTAAACTTTTGAATCATGTATGATTATAACTGCACATGAATTCAGATTCTATCGAGGTTAAATTATGCAATTCAAAACCAATTGGACGATGAATAAAGAGACCAACAAAAACCCACATGCAAGTTTAAAAGGTACTGGTGTGAAATAACCTCTAATACGGCCCGACACATGACTGCAAACCAATTGATAATGAGTTAAGAAGCCCATAAGAATCACATACTAGCTAAAAATGTATCATTCAAGATTTGAGACAAACTCTAAAACTTCTCTACACGTAACCCCTTACTCAACACAAGGGTTCCCTCCTGTCACAAACAAATGGGGAATCATGTACTAAACAAATAAGAGCCTTGCCCAAAAGATTCTTTAAGCCCAGTTCAAATACCATGTTAAAGCATTCAAGTCAAAACTAATTGGCAATGAATGGAGAGGCACACAGGGTTTATATACTATTTTAGATAAGTAAAACAAGGTCCATCCAAATTTAGCTCAAGTAAACTCGCCAACTAATCACCAAATTTTAATTCAATAAACCATCAAACTCAGACCTGCCAAATGTGAAAGGAGAATACAAGCGTGTCACAGATCAAGACTCTTTACATCTGAGAAAGATGGTTTGTCTCAAAGCCAACACACCTATGCATAGAAAAAAATCATACTTCGAAACTTCCAACAGTTTAATTGAGGAACAAACAGCAAACAAAGAAGATAAAAATGAGTGTTTGTCGTCTATCATTGTATCTAACAATATATTGTAAGTTTTAACAGCACAATGACTAACAATGATGGAAATGTGAGAAACAAACAATTTCCATTGCTGCTAAATCATATATCATCAAGAATTAAAGATTGGAATCAAAGCAAAGTTCTATTCTTTTCAATATAGACGTAGTTTCACTTCCACATCAAATGAAGTAGCTTTTAGATCTCTGGCATGTTTTCAAGCAGTCAATCACCCTTACCCTCTTGGGATCCAATCTCTTGCAGGTAATGTTCTGCATCCAAGGCTGCCATGCACCCTGCACCAAAAAGAAAGGAAAGAGAGCTACTCAGATCTACTGAGAATAAAAACAGTGCTCAGCTGACAATTTTGGAAGCAAAATTTTGGCACCAACTTTATGACAAGACAATGCAGCATTTCTAGAAGGGAAAATGAAGAAAAGAAACAGAGGATGAAAAAGGAGATCCGAGAGACATATATACAAGTTGAGCGGAAAAAGAAAGGATAGAGGGAAAAAATCAATGCAAGATAGAGAGCAAAGGTGATAGCAAGGGTGGCGTGTGTGAAGAGAAGAGAGAGCAGAATCATTAGAAAAAGGCTCCAGGCATTGAGAGAGAGAGAGAGAAGAAGGCGATCAGAGAAGGGAAAACAGAGGGAGGCAAAAAAGTATGTAAGGAAAAAATTATGGAAAAGGATGAAAGAGAAAAAAGTAATAGAGAGAAATAAGAAAAGATTCTTTTGGCAGGATTCAGGTGAACCTGATATCTCAGTTCAAGTAATGTCCAATTTTAATTCGGTTTGGGATTTTTTTTTTAGCAAAGCCAGCCCGAGTATTAAAAATATCTAAATCAAGTATCGACTTATTTAGTTTAAGTTTGGATTAGGCTCAGGTTGGCCCAACCAAGTTGCACCCCCAATTTTCAAAACCTTTTTCTGCTCAACCGAGAAGACCCTTGGTCTTGCATAAATGGAGTATCCTAAAGGCATCTCCATAAGAGAAGGGCAAATTCAAATAAGGAGTACCAAGGTTGTAGCTTCCCGTCATATTCCATACAACATTATCAATTTTGTAAAGAGAAAACAATATACAATGTAGCAACAATCTTTTTGTGGCTGACCGATCGAAAGGAAGAAGAAGAAAAGAAAATAACACTTAGCTAGTCTGTTCGCAGTTCATACATCATAAAAATTATAGTGGCGGACGTGTTGTATTTCAAATCTAAAATCAGAAAACCATCATCTTACCACAAAAAGTTTGTAGTGCTTCCCTTGCTACTTTTCTATGATATAATCAAATATTTTAATCTACATAACATTGGTTTCTTTGTCAAAAACCATATTTTTAGATGACAAGTCACTCCCTAAAAATATCAAATGAGACTCCCTCAACACTTCCTATATAAGCATGCCAATTCTCATAACATAGATCTTTTATGAAGATCATAGTTTTTCCTTATGTATTCTTCCATCAGAATGTCAACTTCCTTTTCTATCGTACTTTTCCCTTTCACTTGCATACCCCCACTTCGTGGGAATCTAGTTTCTCCCTTAGGCCCTCACCATTTTTTATCTCCTAGAATTTATTGTCTTGAACTAGAAATATGTAGTTTGTAAGGCCACCACTCGATAAAACTTTATCGTTACCATGTTGCTTATGCTACCTTCCAATCAACAAAGTTGGTTTTACTCGTGTCCAAACCATATTCAAGAATTATCAAACTTTCATTTCTTCATTTTAACTTGATCTGGCACATTCTACTGTGTGATGTTATGCTGCAGCCTGCAGTAAAACTTCAATCCTTACATTCAAACCTATTCTCAAAAGCCATCAATTTCATTCATGATTTCATAATTTTGGACTTCTTTCAGCACATGGCCATTCGGGTTGACATGCCATGTCCCCAGTATTGAGTCTACTGTCCACATAGAATGTTACTATAGACCTACGGGTTTATCTGAGATGGTTAACTCCACCTAAAAAGAGTGGAGGTCACTGGTTCGAATATGCAATCGAACAATTGTAATAATAAATAAATAAATAACATAGAACCGTTACTATCATCAAAAGCTTCTCAACCTAAGGATCAGAGTTCAAATGCCTCGAAGCAAAAGTACTAGTAGCAACTCACCTACCAGTTGACAAAGGCTTCAGGGTTCAAGTTTTCAGTTCTAGTTTTAAAAGGTGTTATCTTAAACATCATGCAATGCCTCTACACACATATTAATTGAATCCCAACATAAACCTGTGCTACAGCACCTAGAAGAATGATCCCACCTTATGATCGTCATAAAAACCTCAATAAGCAATGAAAAATCATGAACTAAAGACAATTACATCCAGATATACTCAATTAATAACAAAAAAGGTCAGTTGGACATAAAATACAAAAGAGCAAATATCCTACTCACCAGTGCCTGCAGCAGTAACAGCCTGCCTATACTTCTTATCCTGAACATCACCAGCGGCAAAAATGCCCTTCACACTAGTCTGTGTGGTACCAGGCTTCGTCACCACATAGCCATCAGCATCCAACTCCAACTGCCCATCCAAAAACTTGGTTGCCGGCTCATGCCCTATCGCAAAAAACAACCCCGACACCTTCAAATCAGATACCTCCCCAGTCACCACATTCTTCACCTTTAACTCACCCAGTACCCTCTTCTCTCCCTCCCCATATGCCTCCACCACCACCGAATTCCACAAAACCTCAATTTTCTCGTTGCTCAACGCCCTATTCTGCATTATCTTCGAAGCCTTAAACTCATCCCTTCTATGAATTATATACACTTTCGACCCGTATTTGGTTAAAAATGTTGCTTCCTCCATTGCCGAATCACCACCACCGATCACCGCCAGTGGCTTGTTCCGAAAAATCGGCGCCGCCCCGTCACAAACTGCACAAGCTGAAATTCCTTTGTTCCAATACTTTTCGGAGCCGGGGAAAATCAATTTCTTGGCAACAGCACCGGTGGCAACGATGACGGAATCGGCGAATACGGTGGTGGAATCGGTAGATATTTTGAAAGGGGTCGAAGTGAAATTTACTTTGTTCACCGTTTCGGTGAAGATTTGGGTGCCGAAGCGAACTGTTTGGGCTCGGAAGCTGTCCGTGAGATCGATGCCGGAGATGCCGGAGGGGAAACCGGGGAAGTTTTCGACTTCGGAAGTGGTAGTGAGCTGGCCGCCGGGAGCGATGTCGTTCGCCATCCAGCCTTCGAAGAGGATGGGCTTCAGTTCAGCTCGGGCGGCGTAGATTGCGGCAGTGTGGGCGGCAGGGCCGCTTCCGATTATACAGATACGGGTTTTCAGGGGCTGAACGTCGTCCATGGTGGAAGCGGCGGCGGAGAGGTTAGGCGGGGTGAGGGTTGCGGTCGTGACAGCGGCTGTGGTGGCGAATCCGGCGAGATTGCAGGCTTTTTCCAAGAGTCCGTGGAGTTTTGGGAAACGGTGGGTCCTGGGCATGGCTTGGAGTTTTATGGATTTGGGCTTTATGTGTGAGAGAGAGAGCGAGAGACGGGTGTCTATTGCCGGTATGAGTCTCTGACCAACCCTTTTAGGCGCCAAAACGGCTGCTGAAAAGAGTTTTTAACTAGAGTTTTTAATTTGGGGTCTTTAATTTAGTAATCTTAAATTATTTTATCATTCAAGTAATTAATGACAATAAATTATTTAAAATAAAATAATAAATAACTCTCAATTAACTTTGGTACCTTAGAGCATCTCTAACCCATTCTTCAAAATAATTTGTCAAAATTTAAATACTATATTCACTATTTTAACTAGTCACTTTTATAAATTTATTCTAATCACACTTTCTATTTTTGTAAGCATCGCTTGCATTTTGTTTTTATTTGCATTTTTTTTATTTTTTCTTGGCTTTTTACTTCTCGGAACATGTTCATTTCCTCGAAAATTCATGAGCATGACCTTATTGATACGCAAGTGCAATATTTATGTACACTAAGATTCATATAGATTGCTTTTGTAAATAGTAATTAAATATAATTTTACTTTTCTTGGCAAAATTAAATTGTCATTGAAAAATGGATAACAAATGATAAATAAATATGTTTTTGGGGAAATTATATCCACCTCCTTGAGATTTGATCAAATAACAACCAACCCCATCTTGTTTAACAAATAAGACTGCCTTCTTTCGTCAATGACATCCTTCCATTCTGCGTAACGAAAAATATAAAATGAAGTCAAATACCCTCTACGAGAACTATGAAATGACCAAAACATCCTCAACATTTTGGAGAGCATTTTGGTCATCTTCTCCGACCAGTCATATGCACCACCACTAAAACTCACAAGAAACATCTCCCCAAACTTCTCCGACGAGTTATCTGCACCATCAACTGGATACATTCGCAATGAGTGTTCTTTCGGGACGTGTCTCCTCCATTCTTGTGGTAAGCAGTCTATGAGCCTCAAGCTAGTCAGTTTCAATGACAACTCTCTCAATGTTCTCTGAGTGGATAAGCTAGAGACCTCTGTAGATGGCCCACGACTCTGCTTAAATGCTAGTAAGGTTAGCTAATTTCCCATAAAATCCTTTCGGCCAACACCCTTGTTTATTTCTTAACACATCTCCAACTGTTGTTGGTCTCGGGTTCCCTTTGGAATAGCCATTAGTGATCAATTTCAAACACACAAGCCCCACCCCAACAACTAGAACACAAGCACCACAACGCAATACCCAAGCCACCACCCAAAACTACAAGCAACAGCCCAGAAGCAACACCCAAGTCACGTCTGCTAACCACCATACACCACAACTTGAATCAACGCCACCACTACACAACCGCGTCCATAAACACAACCACCAACACTGCACCGCCGGCCTCAAACCCAAAAATACCACCAATTAAACCCACCTACAAACTCCCAAAACCACCAAGATCTAGAACCACCACCCACGGCTCACTCACCAACAAAAAACCCAGCCTTCCATCGCCCCAACCCCACATCGCATACCCACAACCACCGTTTGCCTCAACCGACCACGACGACGACCACCATACTCTCTCAAAATCATCACAATCCGAAACCTCTGGACATCATCACCAGTGAATGATTCGATTTAGATCATGAAAACTTTAGCACAATACAGCCACATCATCACTGGTACAGAGAATAATCGAACCCATTTAGATTCCAATTTCAACTAAAATTTGAGAGAGACAAATAGATGAGAGAAGAGGTGACTTGGATAGATAAACCCTTACATGAAATTGTCGGAATCTAGAATCAAATCCCCACAGCCATCGGTGAAGGAGAGAGAGAGAGAGAGAGAGAGTGGGAGGCGGGGTGCGGTTGGTGACCCTGACCAGTGATTGAGCAGGGTTGAGGATGGGACATACATAAATTAGTTGTTTGGCCACTAGTTTTATGTTGGCTATACTAAGAATAGGGATTATTTTGCAACATGTGTAGTTTGGTTATAACTTGGATAAGGGCAATATTGATACTTTAAAAAAATAAAGTGCCTGCATCATCAATTTTTTGACATTTTTCTCACGGCACGCTAACGGTTAGAAAAATTTATTACATAATCAAATTAAAGGGGAGTGTAATGTTATTTGTCAAACAAGAGGGGGACTTGGTTGTTATTTGACCAACGAGAACCTATTCTATTTGAAGTCCATTTATTGGGGAAATGGTCAGTCTATTTCACTTCGTCAAGAAAGAAATGTTCTTTTCTTTTGCCATCTTGTTTGGAATTCTGATTCTAATTTTCCCCAAGTGAAGCTACTTAGATGTTGCTTCTCACCTCTCCAACCTCATATTTCACAAGTATCACTGCCTTTGTATATCCAAAATAAATTTAACCGTAGATTTTAGATTGATATATTCGTCTGTTAAAATTCAAAACAACAATTTACATATATATCAAGTGTCATGAAAACTAGTTATAAAAGAATATAATTGAATATTTCAAAAAAAAAAAAAGAAATCAAGTGCGACAGTTATAATTTTGTGTAAAATAAGGCAGTCATCTTACCATACTATAAAATAATCAATTTTGAAATATTTAATTAGTCAACTCCAATCAAAATATTACATGTTTCTTTTTTAACCACTCCCGTCATTTTTTGTAAACTACTTCAAAATTGTTAAACTTTCAATCATCTTTTCTTAATTATTTAAAATATGTAAATGAATATTATTTGATTACGAATAAGAATTGTCCAGTGATATTATATTACGGAGGGTCTGATCGTAAAGTTTTGATAGAAAGAGATAATCAATTTCGTGTATCGCACGAGGTGTCTACCAGTTCACTATATGTTCTAGAAGTCTCGTGCACGCCATGCGTGTATAATTTTGTTTTATTACTTGGACATTTTCATGTCATTGTTGAACAAAGCTTATAGGATCTCTTTTCATGTCATTTGTTTAACAGATCTTATAGGATCTCTACATCTGTAGTGGAATATGAAAGCCGTCTTGGGTGATGAAGGAACATGTCGACAAACTATGACCCATATTTCGATCGATACCATACTGATAAATTGTTTTTATTTTCATACATTATTATAGGAAAAGTGAATGACCAAATTAGAACCCGCAATCTTAATGTTTAATAGTGATGACTATTAGGTCATTCGCTATCCTCTCGGTCTTAGGAGAAACTTCAAAAGTAGAATTAGTTATGCCAATGGGCCTGCTAGGCGGCCGATTTTGTGGGCTAGGCCTGCTCATTGGACTAAACGGACCACCGCACTATGGCCTACGTTGCACACAGCACTACACAGGCTAGACTGACCCACCCATGACCCGATAATTCATTGGCTTCTGAGTTAGCCCGTGGGCCTATGATTCCTTGTTCGGAGCAACTTCTCAGATGACAAAGATCAGAAGCTGAAAACATTGGCACGTTTGATTTGCGTCTCAAAAAACGGTATCCGAAAATAGATTTTGAGAAGAGATTTAGAAAAATATTTTTGACGTTTTTTGAGACAAAAAACTTATTTAGTTAGATGATTTCAAAAACAGTTTTATATAACAGAAAACAGTAAAACTTGTTTGGACAGCTTAAATATATGTTTGGATAATAATTCAAAAATTAATAAAAAAAATATGAGAAAGTTATTTTTAGATGGATATTTTCATAAAAAAAAAAATTCAATAAACTAAACTTTAAAATATGAGAAATCAATGGTCTTCAATTTATAACAGATTCGATATCAATTTATAAATAAAATCAATCAACCAAACACTAATAAATTTTTTTGAACCAAAAACTCATATTAATAACATGCAATATCAATGAACCAAAAAATTCATATTATATATACATATATAACCATATCTAAACCAAAAGAATCAGATCAGATCAAAAAAAAAAAAAAAAATCAGATCTGTGTTTGATCGCTGATTGAACTAGATAAAAAATCAAATCTTAACCAAAAAATTGTTGTGTGTGTTTGTGTTCCAAAGTAGATCCAGTCATCGGAGAGCTCTTAGTCGTCGAAGAAAATGACCTCCAATAACCGGAGAAGACACTCTATGTGTGTGTGTGTTTTGCCAAAGAATAGTAGTCGCCAAAGAAGATGCTCCGTCTAAGAGTGTCTGTGGAGAGAGAGAAAGACGGGGAAAGTGAGAGTCTGGGAGAAATCAAGGCAAAAGAAAAAAAAAAGTTTTTTTAGTATGATTTGTTTTGCTTCTAACCGGATTCGATGAAGAGGCATCATTAAAAACTTCAATTGTTCTCCATGTTTTTTATTTTTCCCTTCTTTTGTCTCCAAAACACTCAAAACAAGTTCAGATTGTTTTCATTTTTGTTCTTTACATCTCTCTTTTTATGAAAATTAGAGAACAAGAAACTCAAAACAAACAGTTTTTCCTTGTTTTTTAAATTTTGAGAACAACAAATTATTTTCAAAAATTAAACCAAATAGGCCCATTGTTTTTTTTCATTCATTTCTTATGAGGTTGTGTACAACAACATTAACCGCATAGGCCTGAGCTGGGTTGAGGTTACCTCCATCCCTAGAGAAGTCATATGAGGCAAAAGTTTCACATGTGGTTTTGAAATTGAGCCTTTCCATCAATGGAGCCCAAGGACCAATACGATGATTGGTTTAGTTAGGGCCGCTGGCCTACTGCGAGCATCTGTAGGGATTAGTGTGTGACATCGCAATCCACAAACTAACAGGTGAGACTTATCCTTTATTTGGGAATAAAGAGGGGAAACATAGCATGTCACAAGAGTGAGACGAGGTTTGAAACCCTATTGCAAGAAATTGTGAGAGGAACCCTATTGTCGATTTTTAAAGATGAGGTCTTTTGGCGAAGTCAAACTACAATGAGAAAAATAAAATAAAATAGAAAGCTCATAAAGATGAGCATTAGTGATTTTGGGTTGCTATTTCAATAATTTTAACTAATTGTTTGCAACATTTTTAAAAAAGAATTGGCTTTTTATATATTTTTTGAGATTTTTTTTTCTTTGGTTTTATGCTTTTGGAAAATTTTATTTCAATCTAATTTGGGAACCTCACAACTACTTTAATAACTTAACTAAATTAGGTCTCTAATTAAGTACTGAAATTTGATCTCCATAATATTGCTCTTTACTTTTTTTCTCAGCTAGGCTTTCTCTACCCATGTGTGTATCACTTTTAAAAATACTAGGTAATCAGTCTTTTACTTTTTAAATAAAATTACTGTGTTGCTCAAAAAATTTTTTGAAAAAAATCAAACGGCACATGAGGGGTTAGAGATCAACAGTTAATTTAATGATTATCATCGATGTTAGACTGTAAAATTACAAATTTGAATTTTGTCGTCTTGTCCATGCAATAAAAAGAAGAAAAAAAAAAGGGTACAAGAGGGATTGGCTCTGCATGAAACATGCAGCAAGCAGCAAGCAGCCAACAGCCATCCTACCAAATGTGAACAGAAGAAAGCAATTAGTAAATGCCGCAAAACGATCGGTAGTGATAATAGGACTTCATGACTTTTAACTATTTAAATATTCAAATAGCTGGTGATAATAATCATTGATGCATTTCAAGTGAACTTTCCCAAAGTTTGAAATATGAGGCTGCTTAGCATCTATATTTCAACAAAACTTCTCCTCACCATCCTTTTTCTTCTCTCTTTCTCTCTCTCTCTCTCATTCATCTTATTGTTTTTTTTATTTAGTCAAAAATAATGGCATCGGATTAGGTGGTCAGCACAATCTTTTGAATCTTCATTCCTACCTATTTTGAACTTTCCTAAAAGAATACCAAAAGAATTAGGAAGAAAAAAAATAACTCTCTCAATTGTATTCAATAATTAAAAACTCTTTAGTCCTAAATCTTACATGAAATCATATAATAACATAAAAGCCTAAACCAACTAGGAAACTGAAATCCAAATTAAATTAGGAAATCGAATAAAATAAAACCTTAATTAAATCATAAAATAAAATGAAATGAAATAAAATATAGTCCTATTTAAATTAGAAAATCAAAATCAAAATTTCAAAAATTTCCTAATTGTACGATATTAACCATGTTCAAATTAAATATCAAAATTCTAACCACTTATTCTCAATCAAAATGAGGACATATCCCCTCTTTCTCTCATTCAATACCGTGGTAGGAAGAGAGAGTACCACCGAGGTTAGGGTGGTGGTGAAGGACATCTTCAAAACTCATGAGTAAATTAAGAAAGAACCAAAGAGAGCTCTTTCCAAGAACCTTCCTCAAGATTGCCACCCCACATGAAATTTTAAATATAACAAGAGCTATACATTTCAGCGATGATGAAAAAAAAAAAAAAACTAAAAGCTTCTCATTTTTTCTCACTATATAATTTATAGAAAAATCCAAGAACTACCATTACATATTTTTCTCAAATATGTTCTTACATAAAATTCAAGATCCGAAGAAAGCCTCTTATAGTACTGGCCGTGTCCTTGGCTCTCACACCCATGTATTAGATAGTGTCATACATCCCACCATAGTCGTACAATCGTCTGATGAAGGCCATCTACAAGATACATAGATTGCTGTTTCCAAGAACCATCCCAAGAATGCCACCCCAGATGAAATATGAAATATTACAACCACTACACATTTCAATGATCATTAAAAAAATGCGAAAAAAATTTCCCATTTCTCACAATATATTTACAGAAAATCCAAGGCCATATCCAAAACTGAGGAAAGAGAGAGAAACTGAGAGATCTATTTCCAATGTCCTGATTAAGAAACATGGAATGGAACACAATAAGCTACAACTCATCTATACTCTCAAACCCTTCTGAAACATGGATGATTCCATGTAACCATCAAAGCGAACAACACAAAACATGAGAGAAACATGAAACAAAATGACCAATATTTCATAGAACTCCAACATAGAGCAATGCCACGTGTTCAATTCTCTCAAAGCAATACATCGTGGGTTCAAGTTCGAGAATCATCGCTTAAACTTTTTACCCACTTATCTCTTCGGATGTCTCTGTACACAGAAGCAAGCAAGACCCTTAAAGGATTGTTTACATCTTTCAGTATCAATCTTCTTATCTTTGGTTGACTGGCTTGTCAATGTCATCCACTGATATAGAGGACCGTTTGATGAACTCCAAGCAATCTGAAATGGCTTCGGAATAAAAAGAATTTGAACGCCCAAATGATTTAAGCCTATAGTCTATGTGATATTGATACATATTTGGCACCTCAACCTCCTGGGCAACAAAATTTCTTCTGCTACTTCCACCATTAATATCGCTTCTACTTCTGCATGTACTTCTCGTCCACGATCTGAGAGAAAATCTCCACCTGCTACAGACCCTGAACAGGAACAAGAACTTCTTTCGCAGCCGTTGAACGGAAAATCTCCGGGGGTATTTTAGCCGGAAACCTCTCATACCGTGACATCTCCGGCCAACCCTCTTGTAGTTACAGCTCATATCAGCCATTTTTTTCTCTCTTAACAATGAAAAGTCTGTTGCATACTCTTATGGATGGTTATAAATAAGGGTGACTAAGGACTTTTTTGGAGAGGGAGGAAATGATTTTGAGGTTGGTGTGGGAGGAAAAGAATGGAGAAAACGATGGATTTGCGGGGTGAATTTTGGACGGTATTACGCGGAAGTATTTGTATTTTGCGACGTGGATTGAACAGATTATGTGTTTAATATTGTATTGATAACTTATTTTTGGGATTATAATAACATAAAGTAGCTTAACTAGTACAGTTAGGGGGGACAAGGGAAAGAGAAAATGTGGGAAAAAGTCTCTCTTTAGAAATCAAGTGGCTGTAGTGGTTGTAAGATTAGATAGGCATAATGGGGTGTCATGCAATCACTAATGCTATTTAAATTTAAAATTTAATGATATTGTTTTATTGAAATTATTAGATTAATATTAAATTTTAATGTTTGATGAAATCCGTAATCAATATAATGATCGTAATAAATTAAGTCAATAAATTAAATTCAAATAATACTCATCATGCAATGTATGTGAGAGAGAGGAGAAAATATTCAATATAACGGTGATGTCAGTTCAACATTGTTGAGCAGATTTTGTATGGGTTGTTATTGTGTGAAATCCATTTTCCTATTTACTTAAATATTATTAATTAGTAATATTGCATGACAATTCTAACATGATATCACCGTTACAACGAATATTTATATGTGTGTGAGTGAGAGAGAGAGAGAGAGAGGGGTTTGACTTTAAAAAATTGTCGTTTTTCTATAGGAAAGAGCAACTTTTTCACTAGGCATTATTAGGTGTTTATTCTGTTCACAAGTTGTAAATAATTAACGGTAAAATTAGAGTAGATTATATAGATATATTTTCTTTTGGTGTGGGGGTTTTTGTTGATGAGATCATGAAGTTTCGAGAGGCTCTTCCATGATGGTAACCGGGGACAAGCCTGGCAATAAAATTCATTATTGAAGTTAGGTAAAAAAACGGATAATTTAGATTCGTTCAAATATTCACTCTCTTTTAATCTTTTTATCATGAATTCAAGTAAGATTCGGTGTATTCAAAACAAGTCCTTTGATGTACAGTGAATGAATTAGTATCATAACTAAAAATCAAATGAAATGAATACTAGACAAAATTTTAGTCCAATTGTGTAGCATTATGCAATCTGAACTTGACACAAGACCCTGTAATTATATATAAATATATATGTAATATGCTCAGATAAATATAGTGCTAAATAGAGGTGTCATCATAATTTCAATATCTACCAACAAACTAGTGTGCATTATTTGAGTTGGGTATGCTCTACTCAAAAACTATATCAAAAATAGATCAAGTATAATATATGTGTGGTAGAGATGTAGAACTTAACGCAACAGTAAAGTCATTCTATTGAGATTTGAAGGTCACGAGTTTGACTCACAGGAACAGGGGTAAGGGTTCGTATATCTAATCTTCCTTAAACTCTGCAATAACAAAAGTCTCGTACACTGAATATATCTTCTTCTTTTTTATAATGTATGTGTTGAAAATAATTGTAGAAAAACTAAAAATCTACCTCAAAATTGGTCCAAAGTCAGCTACTTAGGTAATCAACCTCTTGTGCCTTCTAGTATACGTGATCAAATGTGACATTTTTTTATAAAGATTGATATTCGTGGGTGGCCGGGAAAAAAAAAACAGTGCACCAATGTAGGCCAAAATGAGGGTGGTTTGTCACGTGCATGGCAATAGAACTCACACACACACACCATTCTTGACTTCCTTGCACCTCCTTTTTTAGTTACAATTGAATTTCTTCCCTCCTGTATGCACGTGGTGCAGACTGTCGACTTTCTTTGATTTTGGACATGACAACTGACTTGCATGAGATGGAAAATTCTTGATCATTCAAACCTAAGAAGATAACTTATGTTGAACATCAAGTTGAAGAAAACCCTGTTTTTATTCCTTCGTAAGATGCCGATTTGAACATGACACGATAAAATAATATAAACCCCAAATTTAATTATATGATAAACTCTAATGAATAGTAAAATGAATCGAATTAGTGTCAAATATGTATAATTTAATTTTGAAGCAATAAATAAGTTTAGTTGGTTTGATTTTTTAACTAAGAAATACGAATTATTTCTTAGTTGTATTTGTCATGATGCAAATCAAATAAATATTCATTTTATGACTAACTATGCATGATGGATGTGATTGAGAAAATAAAACTCTATCTAAAGTTTATATTTCATGAATTTAAAAATATTACACGATACATTAAGAATACAATATAAAACCCAAAATAAATGAACCATGACTTAATGGTAACCCTACCATTTCTTATCAACTTCTCTTACGTGTTCATGTTTTGTATATGTTTTAAGATGTATAAATTGGAAGTAACTTGTTGAGAGAACCAAGTAGCTTCACGAAATGTCAAAAAAAAAAAGGTTAATTACAAAATGCTCCATTGAATTTTGGGTCTTATTTCAATTAGGTTCTTCTGATTTAAAATTAAACAATTTGCCCCATTAATGTTTGAATAATTTTCAGTTAACTTTTACCGTTAGTTGACCACTATTAAAAAATGAATTAAATTAATCAAAAAATCACAACTACCCTTGTCTTAATATTTTGTGTAAAAATAAAAATCAAAAGAAAAAACCCAACCCCGATAAAAAACCCAAATCCCTTCCCCTCTGTAGAACCAAAACACCCTCCCTTTCCCCCCCCCCCCATTGAAACCGAAACCCGCCCTCACCGTTCCCTCCACTCCCTATTCCCTCCCCTTCCACTGAAATCGAAACTCACCCCTATTGAAACCCTCCCCCTCCATTGTGGATCTAGTGGTTTGTGCCTAGTTGATTGAGTGATGGTTGTAGTAGTTTATGGTTGGGTGGCTGGGTGGGAGCTACGATGGTTTGTGGCTACGGTGGTCATTGGTTGTGGTAGTTTGTAGTTGAGTGACTGGGTGATGGCTACAGTGGTTTGTGGGATTGATTGATTGTGGTTGCGATAGCTGGTGGTTGTGGCTGGGTGGTTTGGTGGTGGATGCGATAGTTTTGGTTGTGGTTGTTGGCAAGGTCATGGCTGCAATTGTTTGTGGTTGGTGGCGTTGGATATTTTGGCTCAATTAAGTAAAAAGAAAGGAAAGAAATCGGAGATGAATATAGGTTAAGGGTACAAAAATAATTTTAAAGTTTTTGTCTAATTAATCGGCCAACTTGTTAACTCTAGAATTTGAAGGGGACAAATTGTTCAATTTTAACCTAGAGGGTTCTAATTAAAATAAGACCCAAAATTTAATGAGGCATTTTATAATTAACCCAAAAAAAAATTTACTTTTTTTTATTGACCAATCAAATATATTAATTGAAATAGAATAAATATAAATTTATAATAAATAATCATTTATCAGATCGTGGACCACATAAAAATCTTACATTCTTATCTGCCAATTTTTTAATTAAAATGGAAGTAGCATCTCTTGTCCATAGAGCCAAAGTGGCAACAAATATTGAAGGTTGAGCCACGTGGCATACAGGATGGCCGGCTGGGGAGTATAGTTATATTATAGACAAGACCAGACAAGACAAGAAGATCGGAGAAGACAGCCCAACCCAACCAAAGACAAAGACCGGGTGGTCGAATGGCAGTTTGTGACTATGTGTCTTGCCTTAGGATGTTGGAGATGTGTTTGGGCTTGTGTCGGCTGGTATGTAGAAATCTATGCAAAAGGGGAAAAATGATTTAATACACATTTAACAATGCCATTTTGCTTGCCATGACGCATAGCAATGCATCACACCACCATACGTACATGATATCAAATTTGAGTATAAGGTTTTTTCATGCTACTTGTTTCATGATCACAGCGCTAAATGCGACACGATTAATAAATAAATTAGATATAATTAAAATTAATAAAAAAATATATACTAATGATACTAAAAATTCGCTAAGATTTAGTTGGTACATCTTAGTTCGGACCTCTCAATTCATGATCATTAACTCGGAAACATAGATTGGAAATCATCACTGACGTGACTTTCGTATACACAATGACAACGACAACTTACATATTTCAACAGATCATGTCATACTTAAGAAATATAAACTTTAACGTCCAAATATTCCGTCACAGAGGTCGTAACAACTATAAAGGGATCACGTTAGTTATGAGAGGATCGCAAAGATTATGCAAGACAACTATATACTATAAATAGAGATCAAATCCCTTCCATTATAGTCAATCAAGCATATGTGTCATTGATTCTATGTAATTCTGTAACTTTTTTCTCCAAGTAATAGAAAATTCACTCGAGAACAAGAGACTCTATTATAGTGGACTAGTCAAGTTTTCGAGCTGGTGAACTATTATAAATCCGCTATCTACTGATCTTTGTTCATAGCTATTATCTCCTGAATTGATTGTTTAACCCCCAAGAGCCTAGAAACTCTGATCGAATATTCTAGTAAACTCAAGTGACAGCTTTAATTAGATCCCCAATTCATTCGCATCTACTTAACCGCGCAAAACACACCATCATATATAATACGACTTATTTATATATTAGTCATAAAAAATTTATGTTTGAAACAAATTTGATATGATATAATTTGTTCGACAATAATTAATAAATAAATTAGATATAGATATATTATTTTTTTACACGAACTCACGAAAATCAAACATAAATCTGACGTATCCAAATTTGTACGTAGTCTTTGTCAAGCGCTTGTTGCAACACAAGTAAGATGAAGTGGTTAGTTAATATAAACATAAATTGGCTCAGATAGCTCTAACCATTGAACCAAAAAAATATAGTGTTACAATGATGGTCATTTATATTATTAGTCATAATATGTGTCTAAAGATATGATAAAATATAAAATTAAACTTATAATTTTATAATAACATAGTTTGAAATTAGTTTTTACCCATTTATTTTAAAAAAAGTCGACAAATTTTCTCAAAAATAAATGA